GGATTCGAACCCGCCACCTTAGGTGTACGTGGCTGGCGCCTTAGCCGCTTGAGCCACAGGCGCCAAGCCCAGAGTCTCACTTTTATTGCCCTCAGTACAGTGCCGTGGTGTCACACAGCTCATAGCAGCCTCCAACTACTGGGCTTAGGTGATTCTCTTGCCTCAGGCTCCTGAATAGCTGGGACTACAGGTGCCTGCCACACACCCAGCTATTTTTTTGTTGTTGCAGTTTGGCCAGGGCTGGGTTTGAACCCGCTACGTTCAGTATATGGGGCCCACACCCACTGAGCCACAGGCACTGCCCAATTATTTGTATTTTTTGTAGCGACAGGGTCTCACTTTGTTGCCCAGGCTAATCTTGAACTCCTGGCCTCCAACAGTCCTCCCAGTGTGGCCTCCCAAAGTGTCAGGATTACAGGTGTGAACCACCACACCCAGCCATAAATGTCCTATATATTCAGTTATAAAAGTACTATAAAAACTTGTAAAATAAGTGGAGGGGAAAAAAAAACATTGATCTTAACACCATCCCCTATAGCCTGTTTGGATAGCTCCTTCTAATCATTTTTTCAAGGAACGTTTTCATAGAGAAACAAGGCAAAACAAAGAAAGCCAAACCAAAACAGAGCAAAAATGATTTTAATCCTGGCATGTATGGATGAAAGAGAGGTGTCTGGACCCCTCAGCCTCCATGTTCAAAGGCAGGGCTTTCTCTGCCTTCCCCACACGTGTACCCCCAAATGGTGTTCTCATGTTTTCAGGACAAGCTCGTGAGTGTCCTGGCAGAGGAAGAGTCTAATAAGAGGTGCGGGCAGCTCCCTGGAGCCCAGCTCCCAGTCTTCCCACCAGGTCTCTGAGAGCACTCTGCTGTCACAGAGGCATCCCCAAAGCCTTTGTTTAAGGCTTGTCTCAGTTTCTTGGCTGCTGGTTATTGAGATAACTTTAAAACCATAAAGTGGAAACCATGGCGAATCAAGTGAGAACTTGTGCCTGTCTGCACTCAAGAGTGCAGGTGCTGAAAGCCACCTAACCTGCCCTCCTGAGGCTCACACCTGATAGACAGATGCAGAGGCCCTTGCATGAACTCCCATTGTATTCCTGCTGTCCTACGGAATTAACCACAGGCATTTCTTTCCTTTTTTCCCCTGAGGTTAAAGACATTTGTTTTAATAAAAGTAAAAATGTGGGTGCGGTGCCTGTGGCTCAGTGAGTAGGGCTCCTGTCCCATATACCGAGGGTAGCAGGTTCAAACCCAGCCCCAGCCAAACTGCAACGAAAGATAGCCAGGTATTGTGGCGGGTGCCTATAGTCCTAGCTACTTGGGAGGCTGAGGCAAGAGAATCGCTTAAGCCCAGCAGTTTGAGGTTGCTGTGAACTGTAACACCACGCCACTCTACCGAGGGCAACATAGTGAGGCTGTGTATCAAAAACAAAAAAAAAGTAAAAATGTGTACCTGGCATGGTAGCTCATGCCTGTAGCCCTAGCTACTCAACATGCTGAGGCAGGAGCATTATTTGAGGCCAGGAGTTCAAGATCAGCCTGATCAACATAGCAAGACCCTATGTCTTAAGGCAAAAAAAAAAGGTAAAAAATATATGTGGTATATAAAATAAAAAAGAGAATAAAAAGCAGTGGACTAATTCAGAAGATGCTACATATGAAAAAATCACAGATTTTACCTTCCTACCTCTGAATATCTCATTCCTACCGTATAGAGATACCCACTGTTAATATCTTTTTTTCCCTCTAGAAATTCTCTGTGTAGAGGCAAACATATATAGTCTACATGTACACACTGACAGGTCTTTGGGAAACCTGTCCATGGGATCCCACTGTACACAGTGGGAGCACAGAATGCACAGTGGGAACAGACTCCACACGGTGGGATCCCACTGCGCATGATGGGAGCGCATGGTGCACGGTGGGAACAGACTCTACATGGTGGGATCCCACTGCGCATGGTGGGAACACACCGTGTTGCCACTCTCCGAGCTCCTGGGACAGCACACACACAGAGCCCACTCCCATCTGGGGCTGCCTGATGTGTCAGATGAGAGCCCTTTGGCTTATCTGACCAGTCTCCTATAGATGGACGTTCAGATTGTTTCTATTTTGGGTAATGAAGTCAGTGCTCTCATGAAAATCCTTTGCAGATAACCCTTAAGATACATCCTAGTGGTGAGGTTGCTGGGTTGAAAAATATGGGAGTACTATAATGGATGGTACCCATATCAATGTGTGTGCCCCATTAAAGAGCAGAGGTGTCTGTCCCTTACTGCCTGGCCAGTTCCTGGCTCATCAGATCTGTGGTAGGAGAGGGCTGGCTTTTTCAAATTTGTTCACAGGGCTCTCTTCTAGGGTTCTGCGGTCAGCAGATCCTGATCGCTTCCAGGTGATGTTCTTCTACTTTGAGGACAAAGCTATTCAGAAAGACAAATCTGGTAAGCTTATCATTGAGATGCTTTTATGATGAATTGAGCTGTAATAGGATAAAAAGAATGCCATTTCCTTCCTTTTTTCTTTTTCTTTTTCTTTTTTTTTTTTTTTTT